AAGTTTTTGATGTATTTTATTTTAGTTGTGTGGCTGTTTGAGCTTCATTCCCAAAACCATTAAAGGAAAATTAGGTAATAAGCAACCTGAGCCTGTGAGGAATTCCTGTTTGGAGGTTTGCTAACGTTTCTGTTCTAATCTCTCGAGTCGAGGATCGTAACGACACAATGACGGCAAAGAAATGAATTGGGCATTGATTGTGATTGATCACCTCTCGGATTTCGGGCTTGTGCGAGCTGATTTTTATTTGGCACTGACACAAACCGAAACCAGCGGCTGTCTGGTGCTGAGGAGAGATCACAGAAAGGGTTTTTAAGTAATGACACACTTTAGAAGGCGGCCTGCAGTGATATAAAACAAACCGCTTGCAGCTAATGGACTAAAACGTGCACGATTACCTGAGAATCCCTCACGCCGCAGCTCACAATCAGACTGGCTTTAATAATAAACTGGAACCAGTCACAGACACTCACAGGTCCAACATTTGCAACTCCGAGCGCCGACAACATATTCTTGGCGGCTTTTCATAGATGTAATCTAATTATAGCAGCTGGCAAAGTGTCTTGAATGATGCAACATGCGATGGCTGCTTTCTAAAAACGTTCCTTCCCTGCGTGTTTTTCCTGCTCTCTCGTCGGTGGCGTTTTTGTCGTGCGGGACAGAAGCGGCAGCTGCTCATAAGTATTCATTAGTCCCTTTCTTGGATTAACAGAGGCAAAATGTGAGTGTGGATGGAGCGGGGCGCTCGCCGCGCTGCCTCCTCCGCCACACGGCGGGCCCTTCTCCTTCTCTCAGAGCGCCAGCCACAGCTGTTCAACACCACTTGACTTTTCCAACAACAGTGTTCTCAGATGGCTGCGGCCACTTTTGTTCCCCCTCTCGCAGGAACACGTGTGCGGTTTTCCACTCCCGTTTACGACGCCTTTGTGTTTCCGAGGCGCTGGATGAAAGTTTGATCCCTCGTTCTCGCTGATGATTGTTTGTTTGTTGATGACACGCTGGTTGTTATAGTTACTAGATCCCCGCCAAGTAGACTCATATTTTAGTATTTCATCTTAATTTGGGGTTCGGAGGAGAAAGATATCAGCCTCTCTCGTGTTTCCACTTCTCTCGCTTTTTGAGCACATGCATCGTGTATCAGTTGCGTTGTGTCTCCCATTCTGGACAGCTGCACTGGCTGGATATCCCTGAGATCTCCTCCTTGCCCACACATGCACCCACACATTCAGAGGCCATAAGTCACTCTGTTTTATGCCACCTCCCTCCGCCCAAATACTCACACACATGTACTCATGTCATCGCCGCTCCTGCTGTGCCGTCTCCGCCCCGGGTCGCTCCGTTTTCATACATTCCCTCGTCTCTCCTCCCCCCCCCCCCCCCCCCCGCCTCCCCCCTCTCTCCGATCCTCATGTCACTACAGCTGTGTGTCAGCTGTCAGCCTGTTTGAGTCAAGCTGAAGGTGAAGCCGAAGCACACAAGAGGCTACAGGGAAGACGGCAGGGCCTCTGTCTCTGCCAGCTGTCACTCCCCCCTCAGACTTCCACTTATCACAAGGTTTTCTGTCCTCCCTCACATTGCTCAAGGCTGGTCTGATTCAAACTCTTTAACGTTAAGTAACATAACAGGGAATGTTCTTTTACTTTTATAATTGTGGTGCATGTTTTAAAGAATTATCTGTGGAAAATAAATAACGAAATTACGTTTATTTGGGGAATTTTGGCGCCAAAAATCCATTTTGTTTACATGAGACCTGTGGTTCAGCTCTGCTTTATGAAAGCCTCGTTGTGCTGGTGTTCGAACTCTGCCGCTTTCTTGACCAACACATGGTTCAAGGGCACGAGAGTCTTCAAAGATCTAAACATTAAATCAAAAATCTAATTTAAGCACAAACCAAACGCTGTGGCCATCATGAAAGCAAGATGTGTTGCAACTCTGCTGTATTTTCTTCAGTAGTGTGTGTACAGTTATGAACCAATAACCTAACTAATATTGAGACGCCATGTTGGTGTCTGCTTTTAAAAGCTTGTTCTGTTGCTGGTGACTTTCATGCAGAAGAAGTTGAGAAACTTTGTTATTTTTTTAAATATGATCAGTCACTTTCAGCTTCATATGCAGCCTGAATGTGAAAATATTCTTCTACCCCTATTTCCGGCATTAGTCTGTGATATAAAATAGATGGGGAAGGCTCAGGTCGGAAAAAGCCACACTGATCTACGTCACTCTGTAAATAAACACTCAAGGACTCATCCAGGAGAGAGCATCGCTAGTAGAAGCTAACGTTAGCATTAACAACTCCACAACATGGAGGAACTCTTTCAGGCTTGTGTTATTCGTGGAGATAAAACATCAACATTGCACAGTGATCAAAAGAAGTGGAAGAGTCGCATTCCTGTTAGCCAATCAGAAGCAAGATGTTTTCATATCATGAATAATAATGAGCAAGACTCCCAAGTCCTTTCGGTTTTGGCCCCAAACCCGTCTTCCTGAAACAGTAGCCCATGAAAACAGCTAAACTAAAGACCCCAGCAGATGTATAGAACAAATGTTTGAGAGCTTTAATATTCAGAAGTGTGGTATAAATAATGAATATCAGCTCTGATCAATCAGATGCTGGTTGTTTTTTTAATGTGCATTATAGAATGAAAACCTTCTCAAGAAGGCTATTATTGAAGGGTTGTGTGATTTTGGGTTCATATCCCGGACAAGCCCCCAAAAATGCACAAAGGACATAACATATAGTGTGTCCAGACAGAATGCAACATTTATATTTACTTTTCAATTAAGCAAATGATGGGCTGCATGGTGGCGCAGGTGTTGGCACTGTTGCCTCGCAGCACGAAGGTCGCAGGTTCGAAACTCGGCTGCGGCCTTTCTGCGTGGAGTTGCGTGTTCTCCCCATGCATGTGTGGGTTTCCTCCAGGTACTCTGGTTTGCCCCACAGATCACAACATGCCCTATAGGTTATAAATTGTAAGTCGCTTTGGATAAATGCGTCTGCCAAATAAATAAACATAAACATAAGCAAATGCTTAGAAGTCAAAAATAGAAGTTAGAAGCTTCAAAATAAAAATAAAAACAAGAAGGGAAACTCCTCAAACCAGCCGCATAGCTGTAGCCTGGCCTGCCAGACTCCTCCTCTGTTTAATTCTGCACAGAGAAAGAGTCTGGGTCCTATTCAAATAACCCCACCCCGTGAGAATTCTAACTGAGCCAATCAGCGCTGAGTATCGTACATCACACACCACAACGCCGAGTTTGTCATAAACATGGTGACTGAAGTGGAGTTCGCTGCGGCTCTTTTCTTTGTTCTAAATGATTTGAACATGTCTTTTAAACCACAGCAAGTAGAAGCGCCAAAAGCATTTCTTCTAAACAAAGATGTTTGCGCTGTCACCAGACTCCATTTTTTCTACAGCTAAAAAAAAACTACAGCGTTGCGGACGTCACACACAGCATTGCTCAGTTTCTCGTAAACAACGAAGACAGCGGCGGAGTTCGCCGCTGCTCTTTCCTCTGTTCTAAATAACTCAGATGTCTTTAAAACCACAAGTAGCAGCGCTAAAAGCATTTCTTCTTAAAAAAAATTGTAAGATTTTTTTGCCGTTGCCAGGCGCTATTTTTTTCCACTACAACTAGAAATCTACCGCGTCGTGCGGTACAGTCGGGGTTTCCTTCTTTTTTCTGATTGGACATTTTTGAGCTTCCTAGTCCCGCCCCTCAAGTGCCTCTCTGCCTTACCAGACTCATTCTCTGTGCAGAATTAAACAGAGGAGGAGTCTGGCAGGCCAGGCTAACGTAGCCGCTCATCAGACCCTGAAAGTCCTATAACACAAATTAAAACAAAAATGCCGGAAGTAGTGCACAGCTGGTGGGTAGTAGAATCCTCCTAGATTACAACATCACACCAGTTAACCAACTCCTGTAGTGGAGACGAGCAGACATCCACTCAAAATCACTGATCTCAAAAATTAAATGATGTGGCTACCTATAAGAACTAATCAATGTGCACTTACATAAAAGTTAACATGTCAAACGTCTAAGTTTTAAAGACAGTTTCTCTTGGCTTTTTGTGTCTAGCACCAGTATGACTGGGTTTGTTTTGATCTTCCTTAAAGTTTGGTTTCTGGTTAGTGACCATCACGTTGCTTTTTGCAGCCATGCGGAGCGTAGCCCGCAGGGAAGAACAGCTAAGTGAACAAACGGAAGGTTTCAGGCATTTTAAGAGCAGTGTCCTCAGTGGGAGAGAATCGTTTCTTTTGTTGTTTACTTTGGGCTTTATACTAAAAGACTTGCACACATAAAACGCTGTACAAAGCTTTGAAGAAAAGGTAAAAAAAAAAAAAAAAAAAGACAGTGTAGAATATTCTCTTTAACTGAAAACGGGGATATTTTTTATTCTGTTGCTCATTATTTGTATTGCTTTATTAGTTTGCCTGTTTTGGGATTCGTTCCAAGCAGGCATCCATATCCAGGTGCTCCAAATGCACCTCATCCTATTAAGAGTGAGTAGGTTTGAAATCATTTAGATGAATGATTGGCATTTCAAAAACAGACTGAATAAAATCCTGTGTGGAAAAAATTAGGATGGCTAATTATATCCTCCTTAGTTACAGAGCTGTTTGTCCCCTTTCTAAAGGCAGCTACATATAATTGTATCACTGCGTTGCAGAGCCAAAGAGAAAAAAAAATTAGTCTGTGAAACTGGTCTTTGTGTTTTGGTTTTGTGCTCGCTCCCAAGGGGGTTTGGATCAGCACTCAGCTTAAAAATGCTGAGAAACACCTAATTGCGAGAAATGCAGCGTGCTTTGGAATGAGAGGCCATCGTTGAGCGTGTTGAGTTATTGACGGCGATGCCGAGTCTGAGATCGGCCGCCTCGGGCTACAGCTGAACGTGTGCATGTGTGGGAGCATTAAAGTAAAACGCCTTGTAATTTTCTGGTGGTTTGGTGCAATCTAAAGTGTTGGATGTTGGTCTGAATTTTCCCCTTTCTACCCAACAGGTATGCCTGTGGCCCTCAGTGAGTCTCTGGACACGTAACCAGAGGATTTTCTGCTGTCATGGCTTCGCCGGTGGCTCAGCTGTTTCCTGTCTCAGTAATCACACTTCTGGCTGTGCTGGTGTCATCAGAGGAGCATGAGTGGCACTTTAACCCAGGTAGGATGTCACAGTTTTATCCATTAAAACCATAGACTGGATTTATAAGATGGGACTCGGCCTCCGTGACATCACCCGTTGCATGTCTTGTCACCCTCAGAAAATACAAAAATGGGCAAAGAGGTGGAGCTGAGAATGGGGCTGTGAGGCTGAGGACAGATGATCAACCCTGAGCCGATGTAGCTACAAGCTAACCGAGTCAACCCTGAGCTAACCAAAGCTAGCGAAGTTTGGCGGGCGCTTTTAGCCAGAAAACCGTGGTTAAGCGAGTTCGCTACCCTCTGCCTTTTAGGCTGTGACACTTTTAATGTGAGACCAAGGCTGAGGCCTTCCCTGGAGCAAGAAGAAGAAAATATCATTTCTATAGCGCCTCTCAAGATAAAAATCACGAGGCGCTTCACAAAAACAAAAAATGTAAAAATATAAAAAAAGAATTTAGAAAATGATTAAAAATATATTTTAAATGAGCAAAAAATAGACAATTGTGATTAAAATGTAAAGAAAGAGAGAGAGTGAATAGGAAAGAGGGAAATCAGTGGGTACTGAGGAAGGTGGAATAGGTGGGGAGAGCAGAAAAGGAGAGAGGTGAAGAAGGTCACACAAAAGCCAGCCTGAACAAGTGAGTCTTCTGCTGCTTTTTAAAGGAGACCACTGAGTCCACTGATCTCAGGCTCAGGGGGAGAGAGGCCCAGAGTCTGGGGGCCACAGCAGCAAATGATCTGTCACCTTTGGTCTTTAGCCTGGTGCTGCACAACCAGTAGGCTTTGATCACTGGACCTCAGGGACCTGCTGGGGGTGTAGGGACTAAGAAGATCACCAATGTAAGATGGTGCTTGTCCATGTAAGGCTCTATAGACCAGAACCAGGATCTTGAAATGAACCCTGAAGTTGACTGGCAGCCAGTGAAGCTGGAGGAGAAGCGGGGTGATGTGGGTGTGTTTGGAGGACTTGGTCAGAAGCCGAGCACAGGCATTCTGAACCACCTGTAGACGGTTCAGGGAGGTTCTGCTCAGACACGTGAAAAGAGAGTTACAGTAGTCTAAGCGTGAGGAGATGAAGGTGTGGAGGACTGTCTCAAGTTCAGAGCAGGACAGAATGGGACTCAGCTTAGCAATGTTCCTGAGATGGAAGAAGGAAGAGCCAAGAAGAGAACTGACATGAGAATCCAGGGTGAGAGCTGGGTCAAAGGTCACACCAAGATTCCTGACAGAGTGTTTGGTGTGAGAAGCAAGCTGACCAAAGCCCCCTTCAGACAGGCCATGAAAAACGGAAATGTCCGGGACTCTTAAGACCTTTGTGGCTGAATACAAACATCCGGATAACCTTTTCCGTAATTAAACCAGATGAAGCCCCTAGTAACAGGACCGGACTTGTCACGGACAAGGTGGCTGCTTCAGACTGGTGAGGTCGAGTTCCGGACAGGGAGAAGGGGGAGGAGGAGGAGTCCGGGGGACGCTGTGCGCACCTAGATAGCTCGCTCCTGTAGCATGTGGCGAACCATGGCAGCTCGCCTCCTACGGTACCGTCTCCTAGACACGCGACGAAGTGCTTCGCACCGCTTCCGTGATTCCTTTATTAACCATTGAGCTTCATCATCCAGGTCTCTTATGCATCTTCGTGTGCGCAGAATTATGCTTAACAAAAGTCCGATCAGTGAGAGGAATTCTATCTCTTCGTCTGCCATGTTTTGTCGGAATAGCTTTGTTTTGGTAAATGACGCATGTACGCACGCCGCAATATGTTTACGCAATATCCGGGTACAGCCTTCCCACCCCCTCCCCCTCAGACATCTGCTGTGTGAAGGCAGCTGAAAGGACAAGTTCAGGTACAAAAGTGGTGTGTCCGAAAACACAGTTCTGGTTAAAAACCGGACTGAATTGTCCACACTTATTCCAGAATGTCAATCTGAAAAGGGCTCAAGAGAGTCTCTGACTTTGGGAACCAGCTTGTCTGGGGCACAGATGAGGATCTCAGTCTTATCTTCATTCAGCTGTAGAAAGCTCCCAGCCGTCCAGGTTTTGATAGTCTAAGCATGTGTGTAACAGCTGCAGCTTAGACATCTCATGGGGCTTAAAGGAGATGTACAGTTGGATGTCATCTGCGTAAATATGGTAGGAGATTCCTTTGAAGGAGCTCAGGATGTGCTGAAGAGGAAGCAGATAGAGGAGGAAGAGCAGAGGCCCCAGCACAGAACCTTGTGGGACACCATGGGTAAGAGAAGTGGTTGAGGACCTAAACTTGGAGACGGCCACAGAAAAGGAGCGCTCAGAAAGATGAGAACTCCAGAGCAGATCCTGATAGGCCTACGCAGCCTCTCAGCCTCTCCAGTAGCAGGTGATAGTCAACAGTGTCAAAGGCTGCAGGAGGCAAGCAAGAGGACAAGCCGCTAGTGCTAGCACTGATGGCTCGTCTGACACCTGTCAATCAAAAGGGTGCGCCCCTAATAATTGAATTTTTGTCACTGCTGCTTCACTTTTGGCGGGTAGAGTATCCTATAGAAATCTAGGCAGACAAGATTTTGCTGTGCATGTCCATGTAGCCTGCTCCATTGGAGCCTCTGCAGGCCCGACCAATCTGGTGGCGTGCCAATCACAGCGCTATATCAGCTTGGTGGGTGGGATGATGCAACGGAGCGGCACACCTAAGTCGGCAACAGCTTGTTTGAAACGACTTTGGCATCAACTTTGCCCTTTAGATTTGGGCTTTTCTTTGAGTCGAGAGCAGATAGAAGCACTTAAGCCCTTTATTTTGAAAAAGAGTGTATTTGTGTCTTTGACGGTGTCCGGCAGACTGCCCCGTTGGCTCACATGTAGTGGTGAATACGTCACATTGTTCGTAGTCCAGTAGCGTGCGGAGACGGTTTGAAAGACAGCCATAAATTCTGCCCCTCGACTGAACTTTCTATGGGTTGTGGCCAAACTATATATTTACTTGTACAGGACGGATTACCAGGCTTTGAGTTTCCCCCCTTGATTCAAACAAAATCCTGATTTCATTTTCACCCCATCCTTCACTCTACACCCGTCCGCCCCGCTGCTCTGACATTCTCCCCACATTCTCAGATCAGTAAGGCTCATTCTCCATCCACTATCATCAGGCTATCCTGTGTCCTCTCCCTGTCTGCCAGTCGGTCGTCTGTAACAGGAGAGCGAGATAGGCGGCAACCCCCCCCCCCCCGACACACACACACACACACACACACACCCAAGGACCGTCAAGACTGCTAATGCACAGGCACTTCATGAAAGTGTCAGTCAGAGTGTCTGGAAGGAAGCATCTGTGTGAGCCAACCTGGTGCAACCAGAGACTGTTTGCAAAGCAAGCAACCTTCTGACTGCAGCTTCTATAATATCAATACAAGTAAAGCTGCAGTGGAGGGAGTCTTCGGAGTCCTCTACAAGTGCAGGTCATTTATCATTTTTCAAGAAATTTTCAAGAATTTAGACATTTGTCATTTATTTTTCAGTAAAAAACCAAAAACCACAATCATATTTCTAGTTTAACCAGTTAATGCTATAGATTTTATCAGCTGTGTGGTTTTGTTGCCAGATTATATAATTATGATTAAAAAAACCTTTGATTCTAACTAAATTGATAGGCTAACAGCTAGTCCAAACGGGGTTCCTCAAAATGACTCAAATCTCCATTCATTGGATGCCAGCTGTTATCTGATCAGAAAACACCTTACTGCCAGTGTTTTTGAGCATTTTTACAGTTTTTTTGAGGAGTCGCAGAATATTGTGCTCTGTGACCTTGTAAACACCCAAACTACCGAAAGAAAGTAGACTCACGTTTTACGTCAGGAAAAGTCTGCATGTTTGGGGCTTTTTCCATTCTTTCTCAATCTGTTATCGGAAGTGAGCTGCAGGCGCTTTTCCGGTTAACGCCTCTCCTATGGGATGGCGGCGTGCAGAACTGACCTCCTAACACGTGGATTGTCTGCTTCACGATCACGTGACGTGTGACACACATGGATGAATGCCAACTGCAGAGGCGTGATGTTTACTCTCAAGGTGCGCATGCTCGTTCCCATGATTTCTCCGTCCGTTGGTGCGGAGACGCGCAACGCCTTTATGCGTCGGCGCAAGGGCTCTCCGCTGGGCTCACAGAGGGCGACGGAGACATGCCCAAAATTTTAAACATGCGTCTCTCTGCAGAGGACCATTAAGCAGGTATTTTTAGCTGCAACAGCATAGACTTGTTTACTGACACGATTCACGCAGCATTCTTGATTAATGCTGGGGTTTTTTGTGCACACCTGATGTTGCACTTTTGGTTGTTTTCAGCTGAGTGTTCATTTCCTGGAACCTGTGGAAATCTTATTTAGAGACCAGCCTTAACTAGTCCGGTCTCCAGTGTGTGACCCGTTTTGTCCGGATTTTCCCCCACAGCAACAGTAAGACCAAACCCTGGAAAACTGGCTCATCTTCAGCCCAGCTGGGGTTTCCAGAGTTGTTCTTGTATGTGGAAAATCTTAAAACTTTTCTGGAGAACATGTGGAAAATTTATCAGTACTCATTGTTCAGCTGCTGTTCACACGTTTCACTCCTCCAGGCGACTTTCTGCAGGGATGCTGTCTCGCTGCGGGGAAAGTAACACACAGGTCAGCAGAAATGAGCGGAAAGCAGCAGCTTGTAGCATAATGCATGCTTGCTCGCTGGCTTTAAGCGCTCCGAAAGATTAACTGCTGCATTCATGTAATATCTCACTCTGTGATTATCCGTGGAGCTGGGTGGGAGATCCAGAAAGTCAATAGTGAAGGCTGCAGACACTTGTATACGAGTTTCATTGGTACCTGTATTGATGCGTTTCCTGTCTCCCTGGCTGATTACTTATCCATCAAAATGACGAGAGGTTTAAAAAATACATTATTTGGACAACATTACTCTTTCCTGTCGATGCTTAAACGAGGCAAGCTGGACACTTTTTCCACAAACCAATTTTCTTGCAAATAGAGGCGTTTAAGTGTAGACTTGCACAAATTTGTTGGTAAAGAAACAAGAAATGCAAAATCCGAGTAACTTCACTGTTAGTTCACCTTTTGATAATGATTTAGGTTAAAAATGGAGATTTTTATTCCATTAATGTGACTTACAGCAGCTCTAAACAACCAGAACCAGTTATACCTGCATGAAGTGAACCCTGAATCTAAGCCTCACAGATGATAAAGCGTTTGGCTTTTGAATGGATCTGAACTCATGACAGTTTGAAGTTGAAAGGAAAACAACAGAGGGGGAAAACTGAAGTTGGTCTGAAGAACGGCTGGCAGCGTGGCGCAACCACGATGATGTAATGAAATGGGCACCTGTCCTCAGGGTGTGGAGGAACTGAGCGCACTTCGCTCGCTGAGGTTTGTAGTGTTTGTCATCCAGCCCAACATTCCTGTTGGCTGACTCAATGACAGAAAGTGAGTTAGACGCCTACCCCACCTCCTCCTCTTTCTGTCGCCCTCCGTATCACTGTCCCGTACCCCCTATCCACTTTATCACTGACCAAACACCCCCCCCTCGCCTCCTCCCCGTGATAACTTCAGAGCAGATCGCTGGCTGTTTAGATAATCCCTGCCTGGGACCACGCTATCTGGATTGTTTGATGATGCTGCCACTGGAGCAGAGTCAGTGCAGATACGTGAGACCCATCTGTGTTTTTTCTTTTTCCTTCAGTTCTTTTCTGCAAATCTCAAAGCGGTGGTAACTGGAGCAGTGCAGGATTGCTGGAGCCCCAGGGTGGAGGCTGTGTGTGGGGCTGAGAGATGGTTGGAAAGACAAAGCGAATAAAAGACAGGAATGGTGTCAATGCAGACGAGATGGACCACAGCGTCTCCAAATGGAGCTGAACATGTCTTAGTTTACCTAACAACCCGAGAATTCTATGTAATTGTGTAATGGGAAACTGATGTAAATGGTTTTGGCCGTGTTTCCTCTATAAGGGTTCCAGGAAGTTTCTGGGAGGGGGAAAATGTGTTGGTTTGGTCCTCTCAGCTGTCGTGTCTCCATTTAAATTTGACCCTTTCGGGACTTTGCTAAGATGCCAGCATTAGGGGTGTAAGAAAATATCAGTATTGCAATTTATCATGAATTTTTTGTGCGATATTAAATTGATATTCAAAAGCTGTGGATTGAATTTTTGGAAGAATTTACAATTGTGTATTTTCTTTTCTTTAGGTGCAATTCAAACGCCGACCACTAGTGGGCAGCATGTGCAGTGGGTTTTGTTTCCACCATTGAAATGTAAATGCCTCGGTTATGGTTCAGATGCCTCATGTTAAACATGTTGCGTATCCGTTTGGATTGTTTATTGAATTTTCCTACAATAAAAATCAATCTAAAAAAAATAAAGCTAATATCGTCTGGCTGAAAGTATCGCAATATACAGGTGCTGGCCAGTAAATTAGAATATCATCAAAAGGTTGAAAATATTTCAGTAATTCCATTCAAAACGTGAAACTTGTACATTATATTCATGCAATGCACACAGACCAATGTATTTCCAATGTTTATTACGTTTAATTTTGATATTTATAGGTGACAACCAATGAAAACATCAAATCTGGTATCTCAGAAAATTAGAATATTCTAAAGGCCAATGAAAAAATGTTTGTTTCTCTAATGTTGGCCAACTGAAAAGAATGAACATGAAAAGAATGTGCATGTATAGCACTCAATACTTAGTCGGGGCTCCTTTTGCCTCAATAACTGCAGTAATGCGGCGTGGCATGGACTCGATCAGTCTGTGGCACTGCTCAGGTGTTATGAGAGCCCAGGCTGCTCTGATAGTCGTCTTCAGCTCCTCTGCATTGTTGGGTCTAGCGTATTGCATCCTCCGCTTCACAATACCCCATAGATTTTCTATGGGGTTAAGGTCAGGCGAGTTTGCTGGCCAATCAAGGACAGGGATACCATGGTCCTTGAACCAGGTGCTGGTGGTTTTGGCACTGTGTGCAGGTGCCAAGTCCTGTTGAAAGGTGAAGTCTGCATCCCCATAAAGTTGGTCAGCAGCAGGAAGCATGAAGTGCTCTAAAACTTCCTGGTAGACGGCTGCATTGACCCTGGACCTCAGGAAACAGAGTGGGCCAACACCGGCAGATGACATGGCACCCCACACCATCACTGACGGTGGAAACTTTACACTGGACCTCATGCAACGTGGATTCTGTGCTTCTTCGCTCTTCCTCCAGACTCTGGGTCCTTGATTTCCAAAGGAAATGCAGAACTTGCTTTCATCAGAAAACATAACTTTGGACCACTCAGCATCAGTCCAGTCCTTTTTGTCCTTGGCCCAGGCGAGACGCTTCTTGCGCTGTTTCTTGTTCAAGAGTGGCTTGACACACGGAATGCGACACCTGAATCCCATGTCTTTCATGAGTCTCCTCGTGGTGGTTCTTGAAGCGCTGACTCCAGCTGCAGTCCACTCTTTGTGGATCTCCCCCACATTTTTGAATGGGTTTGTCGTCACAATTCTCTGCAGGGTGCGGTTATCCCTAGAGCTTGTACACTTTTTTCTACCACATTGTTTCCGTCCCTTCGCCTGTCTGTTAATGTGCTTGGACACAGAGCTCTGCGAACAGCCAGCTTCTTTAGCAATCACCTTTTGTGTCTTGCCCTCCTTGTGCAAGGTGTCAATGATTGTCTTTTGGACAGCTGTTAAGTCAGAAGTCTTCCCCATGATTGTGGTGCCTTCAAAACAAGACTGAGGGACCTTTTAAAGGCCTTTGCAGGTGTTTTGAGTAAATCAGCTGATTAGAGTGGCAGCAGGTGTCTTCTATATTCAGCCTTTTCAGAATATTCTAATTTTTTGAGATACCAAATTTGGAGTTTTCATTAGTTGTCACTTATGAATATCAAATTTAAATGTAATGAACATTGGAAATACATTGGTCTGTGTGCATTGCATGAATATAATGTACAAGTTTCACGTTTTGAATGGAATTACTGAAATATTTTCAACCTTTTGATGATATTCTAATTTACTGGCCAGCACCTGTATTGATATATCGTATTGTCTCCCCTGTATTGTGATACGTATCGTATCGCCAGAATTTCACCAATACACATCCCTAGTCAGCATACGGCACCTGCTTCAACAGTGAGTGACGTCAGTGATCAGTGCCAAAAGGCATACACAGACATTAATAAAATCTTATAAATGTATTCTGTCATAGTACGCATTAATTGAATCCGTTCGGGGGGCCAGGAGGGTGGTTGTGAGGTGTAAAAAGTGGCGTTCGTTGACCAGAAGATGTGGCATTTTTACGGCTCTGTAGGAGATCGCGAAGCGCCGTGATTTACGGTGTTGTGGGTGGATTACAGTTTAGAAACAGTCATTTTAAAGCAGTGTCAGTGCTGCTTTTCTTTTTCTTCCATTCTGCTTCTCCAGCAACTTTTCTAATGTTGTTGTTTGGCAGGTCTGCCGTTATTTTCTTATTACAACCAATCAGCTGGAGTTATCCACAAGTCCCTCCTATTGACACTATTGGACCATTCTGACTACATGCTACTCGGTTGGTCCCTGAAATGGCCCGGTGAAATGGAGACCAAGAAGGTCCGATGAAATTACCCAGAAGTTTCCGATAGAAGGAACGCGCCTCTAGACTACTGTGAAATTTTTAAGATTTGAGTTTTTGAGGTCAGAAATCAACTTGGAGTTTGACCTCACTCTTGCTAACTTTGTTTTACTCCAACATCTCCATGATTTTTATTTATTTAGTATTTAATTTAAGTTCAGTTTCCTTTGAAAACCTCCTAGGTTTGACCTTTTCCACACCTACCTCATGGCCGAGATTGGGAACCATTATTCAAAGCAGAAGATTTTTTAACTGAATGAAAACACAAGATTTGTAACTGTCCAAACAAAAAAAAACTTGACTTCATTTATAGCTGGTAGCCGTTTTCCTGAAGCTTTTATGGAGATTAAATGTCAAAATTCTAAATAAACAGAGTTTAAACATGTTTGGCTGTGGTGTGAGACCGTAACAAATGACTTTAACAAAAAGGGCGATCTCTCTGTGAGGAGTCGAGAAACCCGGAAGATTTCTCAGAGATGACATAACAGCATTATGCTCCATGACCAATGATGGGCTCTGACACTCCAGTGGAAATATTAAGTTTCTTCTGGACAAAGGCTCCAAACACACAAGATCTTTGCTGTCTTCATCCCGTCTCTGTCTCCTCTGCTTCCCTCACAGCTCAGTGTCGATACGCCCTGGGGATGGAGGATGGCACCATCCCAGACTCTGACATCACCGCCTCCAGCGCCTGGTCAGACTCCACCGAGGCCAAACATGGAAGGTGAGAAGTGTGTGTGTGTGTGTGTGTGTGTGTGTGTGTGTGTGTGTGTGTGTGTGTGTGTGTGTGTGTGTGTGTGTGTGTGTGTGTGTGTGTGTGTGTGTGTGTGTGTGTGTGTGTGTGTGTGTGTGTGTGTGTGTGTGTGTGTGTGTGTGTGTGTGTGTGTGTGTGTGTGTGTGTGTGTGTGTGTGATCGTTAAACTTACTGTTATGAAGGAGAGTTCTGTTCACACAAAAGCTATCCTAAAAACTCTGTAGGGGCCCTCTGCCCCGGGGGTGGTGGTCGACTGTTGCTTCCTGGGCACTCTACAGGTAGTGTTTAAGTGGAGGTGGGGGTCTTTGCTCCCCCTCCTCTGAGCGCCCTGACTTGGTGTGGAAGACCTGATGCTGCCGGGGCAGACGGCTCCTCTGATGGCGTTTCCTTGCCATACCTTACTTGGCTCATCTGGACTCAGGTGAATATAAGTGTGTGTGTGTGTGTGTTAATGTTTTTTAACTGTTATGAGATTTTGGGGTCATTTTGTAAAGCACTTTCCTTTAAAAGCGCTTTATAAATAAAATCTGATTGATTAAAAACTGTAATTCTTCTGCCTCAATAGCAAAGTAACACAAGGTGAAAAACTGCAGTCACACCGTATCCATTTTTTTTTCACTCCCAACGTTAACGACTCCATCAATGTCCTAAAGAGCCAGAATTGAGTCATCCTCTACCTTTTTATTTTAATTTGTCAGGCTTCGTTCAGATACACCTGTAGAAGTGAAGGGAAAAGCCGAGGTGCCCCGGCAATACTTGTTCTAAATGGTACGTTACATTAAGTGAGGCAGCCTATAATATAAAACGATCACCATAGTCCGCTTCCTCACAGACATCGTATGAATTCTTGGCTAATCTTTCAAATGTCCAGTAAAATGCAACCTAAGTGAGTGAAAACAGCTTAAAAATCAATTTTTATATAACTTTGAACTTATTGAAGAGTTAATATGAGCCCCTAAAATCATCGTAACCCTTTCCCCCTATAGGGCTCCACTGAATGTAAGATTTTTACACAAACCAAATGCTGTTAACCGACTGATGGGTGGCGTTTAAAGTAGGGATGTCCAGTATTATAGATCTAACCTTAGTATAAGCCGATGTTGCCATTAAAATGTAATATTAAAAAATATATCTGTTTTTACTCCATTAATGACCTAACTTTTACATACCATGCACATATTATACATCAAACTCTTGGTCTTCATCTCCTCCTCATCAAAATATCAAAATATGACAAATGTGAGGTTTAGTTTTTGAGATATTTTAGTGTTATTTGACACAACTCGTGAAGTTGTGCCACCGATTCTGTTCATAACCTGTATGGACAGGATTTCTAGGCGCAGCCAAGGTGTGGAGGGCATCCGTTTTGGTGGCCTGAGGATCAGGTCTCTGCTTTTTGCAGATGATGTGGTCCTGTTGGCTTCATCAGAACATGATCTTCAGCTTGTGCTGGAGCGGTTCGCAGCCGAGTGTGAAGCAGCTGGGATGAGAATCAGGTCCTCTAAATCTGAGACCATGGTCTTGATTCGGAAAAGGGTAGAATGCCTTCTCCGGTCAGGGATGAGGTCCTGCCCCAAGTGGAGGAGTTTAAGTATCTCGGGGTCTTGTTCACGAGTGAGGGAAAGCTGGAGCGTGAGATCTATAGGTGGATTGGTGCTGCACCTGCAGTGATGTGGGCGTTGTACCTGTCTGTCGTAGTGAAGAGAGAGCTGAGTCAGAAGGCGAAGCTCTCGATTTACCGGTCGATCTACGTTCCTACCCTCACCTATGGTCATGAGCTTTGGGTAGTGACCGAAAGAACGAGATCACGGATAAAAGCGGCCGAAAAGAGTTTTCTCCGAAGAGTGGCTGGGCTCTCCCTTAGAGATAGGGTGAGAAGCTCTGTCATTCGGGAGGGGCTCGGAGTAGACCCGCTGCTCCTCCACATCGAGAGGAGCCAGTTGAAGTGGCTCGGGTATCTGGTCAGGATGCCTCCTGGACGCCTCCCTGGTGAGGTTTTCCGGGCACGTCCAACCAGGAGGAGGCCTAAAGATAGACCCAGGACACGGTGGAGGGACTATGTCTCTCACCTGGCCAGGGGACGCCTTGGGATTCCCCCGGAGGAGCTGGCCCAAGTGGCTGGGGAGAGGGAAGTCTGGGCCTCTCGCCTTAGGCTACTTCCCCTGCGACCCGACTCCGGATAAGCGGATGAAAATGGATGGATGGATGGGATGGTAATGCAAAATTAAGACTGAAAGTAAAATTATTAGTGTTGATGCAAACTGTGTGTAATAATTGGTGGAAGGAATTGGGCTTCACTGTAGGATTCTTTCATTTCTGTCTATCTTTCAATGCCTGCCTATGAAAGAGCTCTTTATAAAGAACACATAATCACCACTTTGAATAGCAGCACTAGCTGAGACATGATAGGGCGGATTAAAGGCTCTGATGCCAGTCCTTTTGAATCTGGAGTGCTGCCCACATTTGATATGTTCCGTAGAACATTCAGGAGGGCGAACACAAAATAGTTTTTCAGTCGTGATTATGAAGACCCAGGAAGGAAAACAAACGCAGAAGGGCCTGGCGTTTACAGTGTTGTGCATACATAAACAAATAAAACACTTTCTTCTGCCTCTTCAGTTAAAAAGCAAGTGGTTATCAGAGCATTTTTTGTAACATTTAAAACGAAGACAGTCATTCAGATGATGTACAACTAGGGTAAAGTTAAAAAGAGAATTTTCTATTTTAGCCTTTTCAGATATTGTGCCAGACATTTTTTCCAGGCTGATAAAAGAATTGAAAGTCTATGGGAGCAGATGGATCAGCTCCCATAGACCATCCGTGGACATAAGGCTCCACTTTGTATTTGGAATTGGCAAGGTGGAGGAGGGGGGCTACCATGAGCCAGTTGGATCTTTTCAGGGTGGAGATGGCTGCATAACATGCTGCCAGTCTCTGGGAAAGACTTTCTTCTTGGAGTTGTGCTGGAAGAGGTTTAAAGTGTTCATTAGGTTCTCGGTCTTTATGCAGGTTGTTGCTCCATCTCATGCATTCACACTCGATCAGATGTTTAGTCAGACGGCAGAGGCTTCAGAGACGACCTGGACCTGACTTCTGTCCTACTAGACCGTGTGCAGGAGCTTTAAAAGGAATCCACAGAATAGAACTCTTTGAACAATATTTATGAGGCTGGATGGTTACTGATTTTTTTCCTTTCAAACAAAGCAGATTGTGAACAGATGAAGGAGATATTAGACTCCATAGATAAAAAGATCAAAGAGTTATGGACGAGAACTAACGTGGTCAATAAGCATTAATGCTGTTTTAATTCCAAGTTGGCATAATTATCAGTTTTGTTTTTGTGTAGCACCTGTTCACAACAGAAGTCCCCTCCAAGCTCTAGACCAGACATGTACAAGGTGCGGCCCGGGGGCCATTTGTGGCTCTTGGAGTGGTTTTGTGTGCCCCCCGGTCAAAATTCTAGAGTGGTATAATTCTGTGTCAGATGTAGATTGACATTTTTCATGATAAGATTTTTTACCAACAAGCATATTGCAGACTCACTTTGGAACAGTGCAAATAAAAAGTTAGATGTTATGCTAGCAGGTAGCATTTTCAGTTCACCGATCATTAATATGAAGCACAAAAAAACTGATGATGACCTGGCTTTGTTACTTGCAATGGACTTGTAATAATATTTTAAGTCTTAACTGTGTGGATTTTTTAGTTCATGGTTTATTTTAGTGTTAGTGGATCCATCTTAGTGTTAGCTCATTGTTAACGCTAGCAACAGCAGGCTGCAGCAGGGTTGTTTACGGTAGTTGTAATTCCACTTTCAACCAGTAGGGCAGAGGAGCAGGAACCTGCTCCGTGTTTTTAACAAAATGTTCTAAATGAGAGGTAAGAGTCCAAAATCTTCGCATTTTCACAAAAAATGAGAAAGAATTAAATCTGTTCAGATTGTTTTTACAATTTTGTCTATTTAGGTCAGAAAACAAATACTCACCTCTTAACTCATTTACTGCCATTGACGACCAAAGTCGTCATTTGCATTTTTTTACTGTTTGAGCATCGGAACAAGCCCCCGCACTGAGAGAACAAACATCTCAGCCCTGAAGCCGATCTTCATCCACATACGTCACACGTCACGTGATCAGGAAGCAGACCCTCCATGTCTTAGGAGATTGTTTTGGGCCATTCCTGTAAAAAAAAAGTGAGGCGTGAACCGGAAAAGCTTCTGCCGATCACAATTCGACAACGGATTATGAAAGAACGGATAACACTCTAAACACACAGATTCTTCCTGATGTAAGAGGTGAGTCTCCTCTTTGTTTTGGGTGTTTTGGCATCAACATCATCCTAGCGCGCAACGTTCTGTGACTCTTAAAAACCAGTAAAAACGGTGAGAAACGCTGGCAGCGAAGGCCGTTAGCGATCAGGAAACGGCTGGCAGTGAATGAGTTAAAGACCAACGATTAATGTCCACGGGACGTTTTACATTCACTGATCGTGCTGTATTTATTAAATCATTTACTGATGAACTCTGTTTGCCATATATTTATGCACATGGCGTGCTTTGCTTCTACCTGAGTAATATGTCAATAAAGTAACAGCACTTCTGCAGACTAATGTTTGTCTGCATAGCTTATTCGTAGTATGTTGGCAAAATGTTTCAGATGTCTGTTAAATTATGGATAATGATCACAGCCTGTGTGTGTGTGTGTGTGTGTTTGTCCTTATAAAACCCATTTGGTAATTGTATTACCACCTTGTCTGTGTGGCACCGAGCTCTGATCCGTGAGCGCCGTAGCCACGTGGAAGAGCTTTTTGCAGGATCATGTGCTCGCGTTTGAGTTAATTTGTCTCTGTCAGGCTGGGTCTCCTGGCCGAGTCTCCAGCCATGTGGAAGTGATTGTTAGTCCAAGCTGTTTTTAAGACACATTAGGGAAACCCTGAGAGAGGAAGGGAGATAACGGGCAGAACGCAGACGTAAACTAAAAAACTTCAGTAAATAAATGAGTGCTGCAGCGGTGTCCTGAAAAACGGGAAGGAATGGGTTTAGACTGACGGAGCATGTTCTGAGAGATGCAGAATGAACATTTTTTTTTGAGAGAGTTATTACTCTCAGCCAGAAAAGCATCATCGTGTAGAAAGAGATGAAGGAGGTGAGTGAAGAACGATAAAGACTTGGCTGGTGTTGCTGTCGAGCAAATGAGAAAAGAATTAACTACTTGGCAAAACTAAGTTGTAACTTTAATTCTGCAGACTGGTGAATATTGGTCCAAAATCGGCTCATCTTCATTCTTCCGCCCTCCATCACGGGACATGACGGATCACTAATGTGTTGATCTAATCTTGAGGCTCTAGCTGAATGATCTCACCCCCTAAGGGCAGGGAGGGGCTGATTGAAATCCAAATGCCCCTATCAGCGTAACCGAGTTGATGCAGTGATTTGTTCTGGCGGTCAGGACAGCAGCTTTCATTTTGAGAAAGGCCTCCACCGTGGTCAGAGCGTGGTTGTGGCCTGGAGCTGGTTCCAAAGCTCCCTGAGTGAGTGGATCCAGACTCACAGACACACAGCCAAGGCTGTGGTCTTCTTGTGGCCAAAATGTGATGCTAGAACAAACTCTTCCTCTGCGGCTGGAGCCAGGAAGGTCACAGTGACTGAAAACCTTTGATGCGTGTGTGTGGTCACGGTAAAAATGAGCCCCGACAGAACTCACCAGAACTTGTTGTGAGGTTTGAAGAATGTGACAAAGTCGACTGCGTTCGTGAAAGAAGGAAACTCCTTTAATCAGCTGGATGTTTGTCAGTCTGCAGTCTTTCTCTCAGATGCACCCCCATCCAAACTTCTGATATTATCCATGGTGGTAGAGGAATGTTTGGGGGTTTGTCTCATATTTGAAATGTTTGCACCTGTTTGGTTGTGATGAAAAAAAAAAAAAAGGTATTTTATTTCACACGAATATGTCTGTCCGTGTCCCAGGTTGAGCACCGGAGAAGGAGACGGAGCGTGGTGTCCAGCTGGACCAGTCTTCCCCAGTGGATCGGAATACCTTCAGGTCAGTTAACCCTGCAGTCACAGTCGCTGTTTTCTACAACTAGAAGAGGAGTTTTATGGTTAAAGAGACACCGTTCTACTTTTTCACATTTTTAAATCATTTCCTTGAGTTAGTATCTGCTAAATGACCCTTTACAGGGTTAATAAAAGGCCACCCAGCCATTATCACCAGAATATTCCACTTGCAACTTCAGAGTTGTCGGCCAAGCTGACTTAGACGTATGCTTCACCCCCGCGGTGCATGCTGGGAACTGGGGCTCATTGTCTGTGATTGACAGCTCCTTATTTTGTGGATATGCAATTAGGGTCGTCACGGTGTGAAAGTCTAACCTCACGGTGATTGTGACCAAAATTATCACGGTTTTCTGTATTATCGCGGTATTTTTTAAACGTGTTACATTTTCAGGAAACTACATAAACCCTGTATATCAGGAAAATATTGTCCTCAGTTTGTGTCTAAATTTTGCCTACAATTTGTTATTTTGTAATTATGTTGTTTATTTGTTTACATTTTTCCCCTTTAGTCTTTAAAATACCAATATTTGCCCATAACTTCTTATTTTAAGTCTGTTTGATGTCATCATTTTAAAAATATTAGACCAGACCAGACCAGAATACTCAGTACTCAAGTAGCCTTCTAATCAGATACTTTTTTACCCTTACTTGAGTAATAAACCCTATATCAGGAAATTATTGTCCTCGGTTTGTGTCCTTCCAGTGAGCTTTGCAGATTTGGGAAAATGTCATCAGGCAATAATCATTGATAAATTCATAATTATTCTCGGAGAGAGACCAACTCTTATCTGCCCCTGGGAGCCCCGTAATGCATAGCGTCATTTCAACATGGGGGTGTCCGCGACACGGTTTATATGCAGGTAGCGGCGCTGCGGCTGCTTTATATAGCGACTCGTTGCATTCTCCCTCAACCCAAATCCTCGGATCACGCATTTTAGCTAAAACGCTAACGTTAGCTTGCCTTGCGTTGACTGTAGAGTTGTGGGTGATGGTCACGCAGATGTGTCATGAGATTTGAAGCGTTGCTGCCTTTCACAGACACTTTTTCTGCACGTGCTGCAAACAGGATAGCCGTCTTCTATCAACTGTCCCTCGGCATTCTTCAAATATCCAAAAAATGTCCATACTTCCAACTTTGTCTTCTTTGAGGGATAATAAATGTCCTGAGCGCTACCGTCTCCTCCTTTGGCCATTATTTCAGCTTTAGCTTCAAGAAAGTTTTGGTTGCAAACAACAAAGTGCGCATGTGCCGCCGGCAACTTCTGCAGATGATACGGTGGCTGGTAAGGGACACCGCGCCTACACCGCAGCCACGGTAATCCATTGAGATAATTTATATTTAAAAAACAAGACGGTTATTATTATTGTCAACTTTTTTACCGGGGTTTACCGCTACACCGGTTACCGTGACAACCCTATACGCAATTCTATTAGTCAGAGCTCTAGGCTCACATAATTAGTTAGTTTAGAGGCAGGGGAGCGACTTAAGGGAAATATAAATTATGAAAGATGTCCTGCTGTATATCATAGGACCGGGTCAGATGGTCACATTTAAACATTTTAAAGTGCATACCCCAATTTTAAAGATGGTGGAAGATCCTTTGTAGCTGTTTTCTTTAATCTTCTATAAGAATCTTCCCAATCCCCAGTGAGTCGTGACGAACGGCTGCTACTGAGCCAGGATCTTCTGGAGGTTTCTCTCTGTTGATGGAGTTTTCCTCTCCACTGTCGCTACATGCTTGCTCAGTACGAGGATTGCTGTAAAGACACAGACTGTCAGTGACTTGATGCAATTAATAATTGGCCTAATGAACTGAACTCAGTTGGATAGTTCACTTTGTGAATGGCCTCAAGACGACTCTCGTCGAGATTTTGGTGCTTTAGAAATCCACTGAATTGAATTTCTGTGATTTCTCCAAACTGAGATAGCTTAAACCGCGTTAATAAATCCACATCTCCTGAAATCAAATAAAACAAAACTATGCTATATGAAGGAGAGGCCATAACATGGCTTGACTCGGTCTGTCTGGATACTCCATCCTTATTTAGACTTTTTTCCCCTGTAAATTGTACGACCTGTAGCCACGAGTCGGTGAACGCAGCGGTTTTCTTTAGAGAAATACAGAAACTTCTTTCTTCATACTTGCTCAGACTCTCCCAGTATGCGTTGCTTTCTCTTCTGCCTTTGGAGGATCGGAAGGAAATAAATTTATATGTGCTTTCCTTGTTTTGTACGGCGTAATTGAAAATATAATCCAATTTGTAGCTGACTTTCCATGCATTCCTTTTGCTTCAAGTGTATTTAAACGCGAGTCCCTGACTTGGAGTTGTTGCCGTCTGTGAGTTGTACATGTTTTTGTGACTGCTGCAGACATTTGCTTTATGATACTGGAGATTTGTGGATAGTAGGAATGAAAACATCCAGGTGTTTAGCTCATCATGCAGATTTGTATCCTCACAAATCACAAAAGACCAATAAAGCTGCAAGATAGTGAAGAAGAAGAAGTGACCGCGTTAATCCTTGTACAGGGTATCCGCAGGTCCTTAAAAAGTCTTAAAAAGTCTTAAATTAGCTTTTCCAAATTTAAGGCCTTAAAAATCCTTAAAAATTACAAGTAATCCTTAAATACAGTTTCCAAAGGTCTTAAATTACCAAAGACCCAATAAACAAAATATTTTTTATTTCTATAAAATTTTCGTGACTTTCTAGTTGGTGTTCAGCATTTTTTGTGTACGATGTTGGCAAAAGCGTAACCGTACACATTCAGTTGGTTGTGAAAGGGGGCTATTTTTAGATGGGCACATTAGCTGGTTAAGCTAGTGGGAGCTTGCGCCATGGGGAAGTGCAAGTTTAATGGTAACTGGATGGCTAATCCCACGTTTGCGACGTGGTTAGCATCGGTTCCAGGCAATAGCTGGAAATTATAGCTTAAATTAAATTTTTAAAATAGCTTAAATTTGGTCAAAGTGGCCTTAAAAAGGTCTTAAAAAGTCTTAAATTTGGCTCCCTTAAATCTGCAGATACCCTGCTTGTAATGGCGCTGATCAGCTAATCATCTGTGCTCCCTCAGCGCTCAGCGAGGATTGGTGTTTGGTTGGATCATCGCTGGCTGGATCTGGATAAATGCTCATCCAGCAGACAGTGAAAAGCTAGCTCACACTTCTCCTCATCTAGCCAAGTATTTGCAGTCCTTAATATTTACCCATTTTCATCCCAGAGAGAAATAATTTTCATCAGAAAACCTAAAACTACAGGTGGTTCAGAATGCTGACCAAGTCCTCCAAACACACCCACATCACCCCGCTTCTCCTCCAGCTTCACTGGCTGCCAGTTAACTTCAGGGTTCATTTCAAGATCCTGGTTCTGGTCTATAGGGCGTTACATGGACAAGCACCATCGTACATTGGTGATCTTCTTAGTCCCTACACCCCCAGCAGGTCCCTGAGGTCCAGTGACCAAAGCCTACTGGTTGTGCAGCACCAGGCTAAAGACCAAAGGTGACAGATCATCTGCTGCTGTGGCCCCCAGACTCTGGACCTCTCTCCCCCTGAGCCTGAGATCAGTGGACTCAGTGGTCTCCTTTAAAAAGCAGCTGAAGACTCACTTGTTCAAGCTGGCTTTTGTATGACCTTCTTCACCTCTCTCTCTTTATTCTGCTCTCCCCACCTAGTCCACCTTCCTCATGATCCACTGATTTCCCTCTTTCCTGTTCACTCTCTCTCTTTCTTAACGTTTTGTTTTTTAACCCTTTGATGCATAACGGTCACTACAATGGACAGGTACTCAAAATTGTTATTTGTTTTTGCTATTAAGCACAGCTGTTGAGGACTTTATTGCATTTGAGCCCCTCCATTTTGACTTCAGTAAGCGAAGCCAACATATTTCATGCTCAGAATGCACGCTGTCCACCAAGGTGGACATGTAATAAATTATTTGTAAATTATAAAATTTAACCAAAAATATTTGTCGAAATTTGTTTCATTCACACCTAAAGATGAATGAAAAAAATTGTTAAAAAAATCATGGTTGAAGATTTCATAATTCATTCATCAAAGGGTTAATCACAACTGTATTTTTTGCTCATTTTAAATATATTTTAAACCATTTTCTAAATTCTTTTTTATATTTTTACATTTTTTGTTTTTGTGAAGCGCCTCGTGATTTTTATCTTGAGAGGCGCTTTAGAAATGATATTTTCTTCTTCTTCTTCTACTAACAGTCTCTCCACCAGTTCACCCATCATCTGACTCCTTCAGCCAGTGCCTCTAAAAGGTCCCGGTGCTGCAGGACAAAGCCTTTCTCTGGCTGATGCAGTGTAGCACCAGCCATTTTCAAACGTGAAACGGCTGTTTGTTGTCATGATGCCAGTCTAATCAGTCACACTGGTGAAGTAGACAGATTAAAGCATAGAGTCTGAGCAAAATTAGGGCGACAATTTTACCTGTTTCTCATTTTTGGGCTAAAAGCTTTATTGATTTAAAAAAGTCGTGAATTTTTTCTCAATAATAAAGAAACTTCCATCTCTTTGAACAATATTCAGATATCTAAAGTTTTTCTGTGTCTTAGTACAAATATCTGTTTCACTGTGAGACGTGTGATTGATTGTTTCCCGTAGGTTGACCTTCATAAACTCCATTTCCTGGCTCTGGTTGGCACCCAGGGTCGCCATGCCGACGGCCTGGGTCAGGAGTTCGCCCGTAGTTATCGGCTACGCTACTCCAGAGACGGACAAAAATGGATCACCTGGAAAGACCGCTGGGGACAAGAGGTCAGCGGGACTTCTCTTCCCTCCACTTCTTATTTACAGCCCAATCTCAGCTCTGCACACAGAAAAGTGAATGTCAAAAAAAGCCTTTGGGGCCAACTCTCAATTATTAAAAGAACATTGATCCGTGTCCTTGGGCTGTTGAGCATAAATGTTGCATTAATCCTCTCCCTGTTTTATTCATTTGTATTTGATTTACTCCTTTTGGACTAAGAACACTTGGGATTTGGGCCAACTCAACTTTGTCTAACAATGTTTCTGTTCAGACGTAAGCCTTCACCGCCTGCCGAACAAAACGCAGAAAGTCCATTCTTGTGCAGATAAAGGCATATCTTTTTGCATTTGGCACATGCTCGATATTTTTGGCGGTAAGTCCTGCTCTGTGTTCTGTTCCCCTGTTACGAGATAGCTTGGGGAATTTAGACCTCCAACAGCTAATGTCTACAGCCGTGGCCAAAGGTTTGGAGAATGAGACGAGAGTCTTAGATCTTTTTCTCGGATATTATTGTGGTATATTACAAACAGTTCAAAGGTTTCAATGGCTTTTTGGATAATTACAGGTGAAACTGGAAAATTGAGAAATCGTGCAAAAGTCCATTTATTTCAGTAATCCAGCTTAGACTGAGAGACCATCTCATGGATGTAATTTTGGGGGGGGACAGGGGGGACTTGTCCCCCCACTTTTTCCAAAATCAAGTTTTGACCCCTGTACTTTTTACCATCCAAAAACAATATTACGCTATATAAAATTGACACTGGTTGAGCTCTAAGACAAGCGGAAAGCAGCCGTTTGTGTTGAAACCTGTTTCCCATTAGAGCATACTGTAAAGATCTCCCCCCCCCCCCCCCCCCCCCGTGTCCCCCCACTTCTCAAATGAAAATTACGTCCATGGACCATCTAAAGGCTCAGAATCCCTTTGCAGTTTTTTTTTAGATTCATTAGTGTGTGACTCTTTGAGTTTGGAATATTGAACTTTTTCACAATATGCTGGTCCATGTGGCTGGGGAGAGGGAAGTCTTAGCCTCTGCTTAGGCTACTGCCCCCATGACCCAACCCCACATAACCAGATGAAAATGGATGGATGAAAGTTCAATTACTGATAAAAAATAACTTTTGCACCTTATTCTAATTTTTCAAGTTTCACTTGAATATGAAGTTAATTCAAAGAGAGACCCTGAATATTTACCCTAGTCCAAACCTTGACCGATGGCAGCCTATTCTTGTGTACTTGAGGCTTGGAGTCTATCTGCCTCTTGAGGATTCACTTAATGTTCTCAACGAGTTTCCTGCTGTGAGTTCGAAATGTTGATGTTTAATTCCTCCACTTAGTTGGTAAGCCTTCTGGCACAGAGTCATCATGCTGTAAAACACACTGGAGGAGTTCCTCAGGGAGGATGTTTAGTTACCTTTTTTTAACTGAGTGACTCGACTCCCTTGTCTGAGAAGCATCCCTCACATATCATTTGTCCCAGGATGCTTTTCTGTTGGCATGACACAGACACACACCTGCCTTATTTTCCCCTGACGATCCTTGTTCCAGATGCTCCAAACGATAAGAAAAGAGGACTTTTCCCCTAAGTAGAACATCAGTCTGATCCCGAGGCCTTCAGGAGAATATCAGTCTGCCTCATGTTTGGGATTGGAGAGGAGTGGTTTCTTCGCTTCCCTTCTTAACACTATACTGTCCTCAAAATTCTCTTTGTTGTGCTGCAGGTGCACTCACACCTGCTCTGCACTGATCTTGTCTGTTGAGAGAACATCATAGCTTTGCTGCCTGCTAGAGGGTTTTAAAAATCTTATCATTTAGCTCATCAATGCCATTCTTATTGAAATATAAGGAAGCACATCTATATAGAAAGCTCATATATTTTCTGTAATGTGTATGAGGTCACATTTGTAAATGATAAATGTAAATATGGTTATAAAATGAACTCAACTTTATTATATTTTATGGCATTTTTTCTAATGAGACGTGGATCAAGATGTGCCTGAAAGCAAAAATAAATATTTACCACCGCCAAATCACTACAAACTTTGAGACTCACGCTCTTAAATCAGTCTTGCCTTCATCCTACATTATAAAAATTTAATTTTCTTTAAACTCCTTTTAAATTGATAGAAATCTAAAATGAAAATTCTGAGCCTTCAGGCGAGATTTAAGAAAACTCCACAGGCAACCTGGAAGACTAACAGAGAGAGGGTTGTATCGTGTAATTGAGTATTTGTACTTGTCCCTCTCTGTAGGTGGTGTCAGGTAATGAGAACACCTATGATGTTGTGCTGAAAGACCTCGGTCCCCCCATCGTGGCCCGCATGGTCCGCTTCTACCCCCTGGCTGACCGGGTGATGAGTGTTTGCCTTCGGGTGGAGCTCTACGGTTGTGTGTGGAATGGTAAGTGTGTGTGTGTGTGTGTGTCTTGTTTATTCTGTGGAGGACTCTCTTAGATCTAGTTTGATTATTCCTCATGTGTTAAGAGAGTTCTCTCTCTTCCTGGGTTTAATTAGAAATCGGATGGTAATGATTACAAGTGCGTGTTTTGGGAGCCTCTGAGGGGTTTGCCCCGATAAAAAGAAGCCACTGCCTGATGAATAGTGTCGTCTCGGCGCCTCCTGAAGCACAACGTGGAGTATTTATGGCTGGTTCTCCTCCCTCTACTGCCCCATCCACCTCCCTCTGACAGCACAGCGCTCTTCGTAAATCACAATCATCAGTGACCTGAGAATACTCACTTCCTGTCCTGTGTCTTCAGGGGGAGCATCTCTCTAAAAGATGATCCTTTGTGGTCTCAGAGGTGCAGAAGCTCAGTTCAACTTCTGGCCAAAGAATCTGAAGAAACTTGTAGATTTTGAGTTTTATACACACTCTGAGCCCATTCCAGTGTGTGTTAGATATTTACAGAACAGATTTAGCTGGTGTTTCTCCTCTCATAGCCCCAACGCTGATCAGCTGCATATTAAACTAGAAGATTGACTTTAATAAGTTATTTGTGGCTTGGAAAGAACAGGACTGGGAGTTTTACAACTTAAATACCAGCTTAACACATTCCAGTGATGGAGGAAGAAACTATGGTCTTTAAGAGCAGCTAGTTTTTATTTCTGTGGGGTTTTTTTGTTTGTGTGTGTGTGAACTGAGATTTTGGGTCCACCTGTTATTGGCTCATAAACACAAGTCCGCTTCAAGAGCAAATTCTGTCAATTAAAATTCATTTCAGTCATTTAAATGTCATAGAAATTCATGCAAATCCTCTTACAGTTATTGCTTCAGACATTTCCTGCGGGGGGTAGTCCCTGGCTGCAGTGGTTGTGCTAAAGCTAGCTGCTGCTGCAAATCTTATGAAGATAGCTACTTGGTGTGAAATTAATATCACATAAAAGTCTTTTGCATGAACTGTTTGGGCGACTGGAGCTGTCCCCTTTAAGTTCTGTGTGACTTAAAGTGGACATTTTATGCAAATGCTGCCATGTGGGTCTCTACCACCTCTATAAACAAATGTGAAAAATTCCATTCATCTTTTGGGGCGACGGTGGCACAGGAGTTAAGTGATCGCCACGTAATCAGAAGGTTGCAGGTTCGAGCCCCGCTCAGTCTGTTGCTGTCGTTGTGTCCTTGGGCGAGACACTTAACCCACGTTGCCTGCTGGTGGTGGTCGGAGGGACCGGTGGCGCCAGTGCTCGGCAGCCTCTCCTCTGCAGCTGTGGCTACATCGTAGCTCATCCCCACCAGTGTGTGAATGTGTGTGTGTGAATGGGTGAATGACTGGTTGTGTTGTAAAGCGCCTTGGGGGGTTCCAGGACTCTAGAAGGCGCTATATCAAATACAGGCCATTTACCATTTTTTACCATTTTGTCCATCTGTGTTTGTTTGGTTTTGATAATTATCTGCTTAAAACAAGCGGTGTGAAAAAGTGCCGGTTTGTGATGTCATAAACGGGGAAAATGGAACGGAACCACCTCTCAGCTGCATGATAGAAGCCACATAGCTTGATTTCATTCATAAGGCTGTCAGGTAAAATGTGATGTGTTACTGGAATTAGTTTATGTGACGATATCATTTTTGGGCCTGTTGTAGCACACGACGTTAGAACTCAGAAACTCGCTTTTTCATTCAAGAGCCTGATAAAAGCACGTATTTTATTGTTTCCAGATGGGCTGAAGGCGTACACGGCTCCAGCGGGTCACGTCATGAGCCTGCCTGGCATGCACGTCTATCTGAACGACTCCACTTACGACGGGAGTGTGGAACAAGGGTAAGATATCCCGCTTCATTTTTATGTATGAGCCGGAATCTCATCTCCACCGACTCTCATAGATTCAACCTCCACAGGAGCCGTTATGGAGATGAGGCCCTGTTGTTGGGTGAAACACCGCTGTGACAAATATGTTCTCGGTAAAGACGGGAAAAAAATAGTTTGGAGTTAGGACATCGAGGCGCTCATTGCATCTGCTGAGCCTGAAATGTGGGATCAGCCGGATCCTGGCTTCGGCCTTTTTTTCTGTCAACGTAATCGAAAGGGAATGACATTATTTTTCCGAGCTGCTCTGGGACTTGAGGCGCGTTTCCTCACCATAATGTTTGGCAGTGAGCAAATGAGGGGTAAACCAAGAATTCAGGGTGGAGCGGGGGGGCTGGTGGGGGGTCCATGCTTTTACAGGCTGCGCGGTTAATGGGGCTGAAATGTTTTGCTAACGCGCGAGCAGGCACGTTTGATGTGATCCAGACGTGTTTGCCAGCAGATGGATGCACGAGGGCTCGTGGAACGAGAGGACCTATTAGCTGACCCCTTTGTGTTGTCTTCTTCCTGCTGGGGTGTGTGTTTGTGTAGATGGTGTGTGTGTGTGTGTGTAGGCCTGTTTTAACTCTACATGTGAACTGAGTGAATTCTGTGTGCAGGATGAACTTCGGAGGTCTGGGCCAGCTTTGCGATGGCGTCCTGGGAGGAGACGACTTCACAGAAACAAAGGAGCTGAGGGTGTGGCCGGGTTATGATTACGTTGGCTGGAGTCGGGAAGCCCTCGGGCAAGGCAGCGTGGATATAGAGTTCCATTTTGAGAAACCGAGACTCTTCAACAACATGCAGGTAGGAACTGAAATCAGTGTGTGTGTTAAGCCTGATTCATGCTTCTCCGTCAGCTCCGCAAGGGACAGACACGCACGGATTGACGGAAGCGTTTTGCTCTCATGCTTCTGCGTCTCCTGGAGAGTGTTGCAAAGCAATTCCCCACCAGGACAACAGAGCGCGTAGTGCTGTTCTGTGGTATCCTGTCATGTATCAGGTCCAGGATACATGAGATATTGTGTTTTTTGTATATAAGAGACTTTTTAACAGACAAATTTGTCTCTCATCCTCCTCCACCTCTTCATGCGCTCGCCACCTCCAAACCCACGTTTCCTGTCATTTCCGTCCACAAATAAAACTCTTGCTGTGCATCTTTTCACTCCTCCAGTCACGGGGAATTAAACGTTCATGTCTTTAGAGTTTTTTCGCGAGGTGTTCTTCAAGCTTCTCCGTGTCTGCCGCTAGTTATCCTCGGCTCTCTTTATGTTGTTGAGGGCGCAACGGCGGCGGTGTAGACGACAGCGGCGTCCTGACCAATCACAAGCTTGCGTTGTCCGTCTCGACTGACGGATGTTTAGAGAAGAGAGCTCGACTCCGTCTGTCCTTGCGGAGCTCTCCGGCAGGCCCGCAAGGACGTTGCGTGTCTCCGCACTGACGCAGACGGAGAAGCATGAATCGGGCTTTAGTGGACGAGTAGGTGACAACGAGAGAAGCGTTTTGTTAAATAAGCCCGAGTGAGCTGAAACTGACAGTTTTGGGTCTCAGAAAGGAGGCTCTCTTAGCTCATATCACCATGGTAACGTGTGTTGAACTTGAAACTTGCTCCAGTGCTGTTTTTATTTAGACTTTAGTTTTAAATCATCTATACCAATAAATAATAGTAGGATAAATACTATTACCACAAAAAATAATTCAATCACCACATGTTCATTGGTTCATTTCCCAGATAGAGAAATCCGACTGAAACACATTTATTTGTTTATTAGTTAATATCAAATTAATCTGCGTCGGACTTTTAATAACTGTCAAATGATCAAATAACACTAAATTAAAAGCTTCAGCTCAATTCATTGTACAGCATTTAAATGTCACCCGATTAAACTGTAAAACAACGGCTGCTTAATGGCCTCGCCAGCATTGAATTTTATGATTATTGTTTTCAATCCTAACTCCTCGTAAATCCTCCTGTTAGACCAGAACAGTTTTTTTTAAAGATGAAGTTCACTGAGAAACCGTTTTACTTGTTCTTTTTGAATATGATCGTCACTTTGAGTTTAACTGCAGGCTCAATGGGAAAATAGACTTCTATCCCTTTCTCCTGCATTAGCTGCCGATAAAAGGTAGACGGAAAATCACTGGCCAGGAAAAGCCACTCACTGTAAATGAGCATCATGGACTCGCCCAGCTTGGCTCGCGATGGGTGAGTCTGAACTTGTGTACTCCAGCCCTTGTGAAACGGCATCGACGACGGCCCAAGGAGTGTTCCAATCCCAAGTATGCATAATGGAAAGTTGCTCAAAGTTCCCGGATCTGTTCTTGCTCTGCCCATTGTATCGAGGAAGCATCAATGCGTCCCTCTGCGACCTTGGGACAGCAAAGTTTCCCATAATGCATTGCAAACGTCAGAGGAGAAAGCTAACAACTGTATTTTTTTATATTGGAAGTATAAATATAATATAAAGTTGTCTGTTATTGTAAATAATCGTGCATAAACTGTAAGTTTAGCTGTGTGTTTTGAGTTTTACTCTTCATGATCCCTAAAAAGGCTAATTAGCTAACCCACTATCGAAATAAAAGCACCGTAGCTCTTTTCTGGTGAAAAATTAACTTTTTTATTCATTAGAGTGCGGGAAATGGTAGAATTTTGTCATTTTTGATCAAAGTGGGCCACGAATAATGCAAATAATATGTTTTTGTTATTATTTTGCTATTTAAGGAACAAACTAGACTTATTTTTGTGTCAGGTCGGTTTTTTGTCTGGACACAACGGAGTACGGTTCTGTTCCAAATGCCGTCCTCGTCCTCCCGTACTCGGTGGAACAGACTTCCTGGTGTCCTTGCCGAGAACATACTTGTCTGTGTTCATGTTTCATGTTTATTTTCATGTCTAGCACACAAGAACGTACTAGCATCTTTTAGTATTGAGAAA